TGTTTGATAAATAATTGGGATTAGGATGTATTGTATCAACGTTATTTATTTTAATGACGATTGTATTATATTATTATTATATTAGAATATATTATATATAATAATATATATATTAGAATATATTATGCATACATTTGTTTTGTTTGATAAATAATTGGGATTAGGATGTATTGTATCAACGTTATTTATTTTAATAACGATTGTATTATATTATTATTATATTAGAATATATTATGCATAATATATTAATACAAATATATCTGCGTGACTACTTTATGTTTTGTCGCGTTATATTTAATGTGTTTGATAAATAATTCGGATTATTGGTATTGTATCAACGTTATTTATTTTAATGACGATTTTATTATATTAGAATATATTATGCAACATTAATACAGATATATCTGCGTAACTACTTTATATTTCGTCGCGTTATATTTATTGTGTTTGATAAATAATTGAGATTAGGTTGGCAAATGTATTGTATCAATGTTATTTATTTTAATGACGATTGTATTGTATTATTATTATTATTATTATATTATTGCCGTTATATAATTGTTACGTATTTAGATCGTGCCTTCAAAATAAGAGAAAAATCACAAACATAAATTTATATCAGAATGACAGAATTCTAATACAGATTATAATTACTGGAATGATAATGAATGAATGAAGAAATAATTATAAAACTTCTAACCTGTGAAATATTATAAAAATAACAAAAATCGATTACAAAGCATTCGAAATGTAATATTCTCTATAAAATTTCGCATGTATAAGCAATTATTTTTTTCTCCGAGGTTTCATTTTTCGAGGTTAATATTCTCGAAAACATGAATTTATTGAGAATGAAATTGTTTCTCTAAACATGGCGTAATAATCAATTAAGCTAATTTTTCAATAGAAAAAAAAAAAAAAAAATACAAATTTGAATTCGTGGATTATTAAGGTACGCATGACTGACAAAAATAGAGTAGAGTACGAGTAAACAGAGTGCTCGTTGTAATCCTGTTTCCTCGGTCGCGGTTTAATAAACGAGAATTCTAATAAAAATCACGACGGCGAAGCTTCTCCTTCCCAGTTCTGCCCTTCAAATGAAATAAAATTCCCCGGAATCTTCTGATTTCTCTCATTAACGCGTCCTCCTTGCTGCAATTCTTTTCTAACCTATGAACTTTCGAGACAGAAATACGAAACACGAAGTTGGGTTTGACAGTTAAAGTTAACGCGGAGAAACGAACAATCTTCCGATTGTTCAATTTTCACGTTCCTAAGAATTAGTATCTCCGTGAAAAAAATTTCATCAACAGATGTTATCCAATGTAAACGCTTATCATTATAACAATTATATTACAAGTGATAATTTTTTTGTAGTTAGTACGATTTCGAGATCGCCTCCACTGTTTCAAACATTTAACATTTTACACTTCTTAAATTTGCAATTAAAAATCAAACAGATCTCTCTATCAAAAAAAAAAAAAAAAAAAAAAAAAAAAGAAATCTATGTATTTTCTATGCAGAATGATTAAATTAACTAAACAGAGAATCTCTGAAATTCCACCAGCTACGAAAAAAAAAAAAAAAAATCATCACTGTCGCATTCCAGGCAGAGGTTCGTTCGTTAGAAAAATTCGTTCATTCTCTTATACGTTTTTCGAAAAGGACAGAGGCATTCCTAACGATCGAGTGCTGACTCTAACCACCCTTGTGTGCATTCAAACGTTAACTATCAAGCGCATAATCCTGTATGGACCATGTTTCAGGAGGACGAGTCGGTGCTGGTGGACGGTGCCTGCCAAATACCAGACCCTCTGTACAAGCTGATCGGCAGCATAATCTGCTTTTACATACCGTTGGGCGTGATGCTGCTTACGTACGCGTTGACAGTGAGACTGCTGGCGAAGCAGCAGCAGAATATAGGAGGAACAGCAGGTTGGTCCTCCGGATGGCTGGGTGGCCCGCAGGGCCCACCGCCGGGAGGTTAGTGTATTATCAGGTACACTGACCCGTTACATTCACTCGATAACACCCATCGCCATGAAATCATCTCTCACCTCCCCTCTACGATTCGTCGCTCCCTAATTTCGAAAATTTAGAATTTTTTTACGAATTATGTATCTTTTAAAGTAACTCTAGAGCGCTTCGTTGACTTTTCAATTTCGCGAGAAATGACACTTGAAATTTTTTTTTTTTTTTTTTTTTTTATGAAGTAATTTACAAAAACAGGAGAAGAAAGAATTTT